GGTCTACAATCATGTTTTAATTGTGGGCATGTTGCATGGGAATACACACTTGTGCATAGCTCATTCTTTATATAGTTCACCTGCATAACTTAAGAATCATAGAAAATTAGGGTTGGAGGACTTCAGGAGGTCATCCAGTCCAATTCCCTGCTCAAAGCCAGACCAGCCCCAACTAGATTATCTGAGCCAAAGCTTTATCTAGCCTCTTCTTTTCTGTCATCTGCCACCACTGAGAACAGTCCAGCTCCATCCTCTTTGGAACCACCCTTCAGGTAGTTGAAGGCAGCTATTAAATCCCCCCTGGGTCTTCTCTTCTCTAGATTAAATAAGACCAGTTTCCCTCAGCCTCTCCTCAGAAGTCATGTGCACCAGCCTCCTCACCATTTTTGTTGCCCTCCACTGGACTTTCTCCAATTTGTCCATACCCTGTCTGTAGTGGGGGGCCCAAAACTAGACACTATTTCAGATTTGGCCTCACTAGTGCTGAATAGAGGGGAATGATCACTTTCCTGGACCTACTGGCAACATGTCTACCAATACAGCCCAGTGTGCCATTAGCTTTCTTGGCAACAAGGTTACACTGCTGGCTCATATTCCAGATTACTGAGCACTGTAACCCCCATGTCCTTTTTTTTTTTTTTTGCAGAGCTGCTGCCCACACAGTCAGCCCCCCGCCTGTACCGGCGGATGAGATTGTTCCATTCCTAAGTGGAAGACTCTGCACTTGCCCTTGTTGAACCTCATGAGATTTCTTTTGGCCCAATCCTCCAATTTGTCAAGGTCTCCCTGAATCCTAGCCCCACCCTCCAGCAAATCTACTACTCCTCCCAACTTGCTGTCATCTGCAAACTTGCTGGGGGTGCAGTCTATGCCATCTTCCAGGTCGTTCATGAAGACATTGAACAAAACTAGCCCCAGGACCAACCCCTGGGGCACTCCACTTGATACCAGCTGCAAACTAGACATCAAATCATTGATTATTACTCTGATCCTGATGCTCCAGCCAGTTTTCTATCCACCTTACAGTTCACTCATCCAGCCTGTACTTCCTCAACTTGCTTGTGAGAAAGTTGCGGGAGACCATGTCAAAAGCCTTGCTAAAATTGAAGTATACCACATCCACAGGAGCCAGTCATCCCATTATAGGAGGCAATCAGATTGGTCCAGCATGACTTGCCCTTGGTGAATCCATGCTGACTGTTTTTAAATCATCTTCTTCTTTTCCTCCAAGTGCTTTGAGATGGATTCCCTGAGGATCTGCTCCATGATTTTTCCAGGGACTGAGGTAAGGCTGACTGGTCCATAGTTCCCGGGATCTTTTTTGCCCCTTTCTTAAATATGGGCTCTATGTTTGCCTCTTTTCCAATCATCCAGGACCTCTCCTGATTGCTATGAGTTTTCAAAGATGATGGCCAGCAGCTCTGAATCGCATCCACCAAGTCCCTCATCACCCTTGGGTGCCTCCTGTCTGGCCTCAGGGATTTGTATATGTCCACCTTTTCTAAATAGTCCCTAACCTGTTCTTTTGTCACTGTTGGCTGCTCCCTTCCTTGAAACAGTGTAATTATTACACCAATAGATTTGATAGCATCCCTGCCATGTCTGATTACTGTGCGGGCCGGGAGCGACCCGAGCCCTTTTCCGTGCTGCACACGGGCTGTGGCCAGCAGCCCGGGCACACCGGGTTGGAGAGGGAAGGCCATCGAGCTGGAATTAGGCACAAACGCTTAACGGTAGTTTAAAAGATTGTTTACTTACACCGAGATGGCAGTGGTGTAGGCTGGAAAACTTGCTTGAGTTGCGGTTACAGACACAAAACAAAACAAAACAAAACAAAACTCGAACCTGCAGGACCCGAGGGTACGTCGCAAAGGATTTCGGCGACGGGAAGATACAAAATACGAGGGTACGTCGCAATGGGAAAATAAACCTGCAGGACTCGAACCCGGGTAGAAGAGCTCTGAAGT